GTGATGCACATCTTAGATATCTTAGATATCTTACTTCAGGCGGCCTTCGTCAGCGGCGAGTCGTAGATCAGCGCCGTCTGTGCGCCCAAACCTCGGTGCCACAAAGTGCCACAAAGACAAGGCCTTTTTTAAAAAAACTAATCACAAGATCAAAAACATGTAAAACATGGTAAAACAAATCTAAGTGACCCAACACCCAACATGACCCAACTAAATCCAACTAAATCCAACTAACACGTGACCCAAGTTGCCCACCTGCTTCGACATGTCGGTCCACCGCATTGTAGCACATGTTCAGCTGTCCACCTCTCTGCGCCCCGGGGCACCCAGTTGCACATGCCACAAGCATCCGAAAGCATCCGAAAGCTGCCACAGTCACCAGGACTCACAACACGTCCCAACACGTCCCAACACGTCCCAACACGTCACAGCCACTCACAAATGAATGTCAGATAATGTCAGTGTAGCGCCTGCGAACCATCGATAAAATGGAGGCTTTGATCTGTCCAACACCGTGTGCCATTTTCTGATCCACGAAATGTCAGCAGCAGCATCAGACCAAAAGCCTGCCGAATGTTGTGGTGCGGCAAGGACACTTGGAAGATCTTGGAAGATCTTGTGGTGCGGCTTTTGCGAACATGAGTTGGTTCTGACAGGAACAAGCTGGCAAGGGAAATCCACGGCCAAATCCGGACTGCCTTCAGGGTTCTGTATGGATCGATGGTGTTGCTCCTCATAGGTATTCCGGGCCACGCACCTGTCACTTTGCAAGAAGCAAAGGACTGAGATGAGAGAACACTGAGCGCATGATGCGCAGTTTCAAGGTATCTGCAACATCTGCAACCCCAACCGAATGAAGCTTGCAGGGCACAACCTTGGCAAAACAACCAATCTGTCATGGTGGCCGTCTTCCGCTTTGATATGCTTTGATGCATGAACACCTCACTGAACATCTCAACTCCAATTTTTCCAGTCTTAGAACCTCCTGAAAGGCTGTGCCATGCTGTGCCATGCTGTTCCACGCCACGCCTCCTGAAAACCAATTGATGCCTTGCTTCGAGCAATGGAAGGCGCTTGGCTTCAACCTTGCCAATTCAAAGACACCATGGATGAGTGCTAAGGCGTGTCATGGGACAAGGCCGTAGTGATCTCAAACACGTCCAATCCAACTACGAGTACAACCTATAGCCGCTGAACCCTGAAATCTGGCCGAGCTGCATTCCAGCGCCAAAGGAGGCGGGCCGCCATGGCAGCAAATCAAAATGTTGCTATCTGCCTAGGCCTTAAAACGGCAACTAATGCAACTAGATACAGGAAACTGCAGGAAGTCCGAGTTCAATCGTCATAGCCTTGGATAAACATCTAGAAGCAATAAGGATTCTGAAATTGAAGAAGAACGATGCTGAAGGATTATATTAAATTATAATATATATATATATATTATATATATAAATAATAAATCCCCTCCGCACACCCTTGAGGCGTCTCATCAACATGTCGACATCGTGTGGACGATCCTCAGCGTTCCTGGCCTTCAGGAATTTGCTCGGATCCTTGGCAAAACAAACAATGCAAATCACCGCTCAATTGCGTCCGCCGCGTGCTAAACGGGGACTAGAATTTCTGAAGGATTTGACTGAGGTCCTAAGATACCGCACCTATCCATGCCATACTATCAGTATCAATATACTACCGCCGTAATAATCTATAATCTGTGCACACTGTCCGGGTCATAAACCCAAATGAATAAAAATGGATATCACAAGTCATGCCCCGAGAGTCATTCAAGTCTTGCAGCTCTTCTTTCGACTGGTCCAGACCTTTGCAGGTCAAGGATGCAACGAAAATGTTCTGCATATGATGCAAGTGGCACTATTTCGATCGAACATGATCGAACCATGTTGTAATAGGTCCGAAATGTCAACGTGTCTTGCCTCAACATATTTTCAATATGTATTTTTTTAAAATGTGTTTGTTTTGTTTATCTTTGATCATGTCTCTCCATTTTCTACATTGAAATCAGGCTCCTCAGCTTGACATAAGACCTCGATTCACTGCAGCATACTGCAGCACAGAAACCATCTTTCATAGCCAAGGCCAGAGGGCGAAGTGCCTCTGAACCCAAATCTCGAAGATGAGCTTGGATGGCCTTCAACATCAACAATCAAGAATGCATCAGAATGCTAAGGCAAATGGCCAAAATACGAACCCCGCGGCCCGTAGCTGCATGAAAAGTCAAACTGTGGTATAAACGTTTGAATGCACATCTTTTGGAAGTTTTCATCCCCCACCAGGATTGCTACACGTCGTGGCATGCACAGTCGTCACACCGTTTGCAATGCGAGGAGCCCAAGAACAACAACACACAGAGCATCAGCATCACAATATCTGTTGGCGTCAACCGCGGACCATTGTGGAAGGGGCAACTGGAAGGGCAGGAGAACTACTACTGTGCCTAATGCTGAGCGGTGCTTCGTTCCAAATACATCACATGCGCCAAATTCTGATACTCCTTACCCGTTTACTGCTGCGAAGCTCTAGATGCTGCATTGCTGTTGCTGCCAGTTCTTCCCTTAGCTACTTAAGCGCCACCACAGCAGTGAATCGCTGCCTGACGCCCTGCTTCAGTCAAGAATTCGACTCCACTTGGCAGCAGAATGCCTAAAAGGCTGCAAAATCGAGAGATGTTGCACAAGAATCACAAGAATGAAAGGGCCACACGTCGAACCATTCAGCACCCTTCTACACTGTCAGACTGGGTCTTTAAAAGCAGAATGACCGTGTGCTTGAGGCAAATGATATCATTAAAATAGTGACGAGGAACGGCTGCATCTCTCCAAAATGCTTTCTGGTGCTCCTTTGACGTACAGAACCGGGCCAGTCACCTGCCAAAGGGCATTGCTTGAAAACATTGCATCGCATAGTATCACCAATTACAACAAAATCATGGAAAACATCGCTCATATTCCCTGATTTTCTCAATTATAAGATATATATATATATATCTGATTATCTCTGTGTGTGTGTCCACGACAACTTTCATGGAACACATCTGGGCCAAGACTCAATCTGAAGATATCTGGAGGCAGCGCCTCCGGGTCGATACAAAGGACACTCATGGACTTGCGATCCCTCGTGAATTCCAGGGTCGCAAGCTTCTGGATGCGAGAGGACCAGTACCTCCCCGAAACTCTAACAGCTTTGCCAGGGACATGAGGTTGAAATATGTTGAAATAGGTTTGCTTATGTTTGCTTCATGTTGAACACAGCTATTTAAAGAAAACACCCATGAATGATGTAAACAAGAGCCAGTAAGTAGTAGTCTTGTGATCGGTTGGGATGCCCTTAATGCCTTCGACCCCAAGTGAAACCATGGGCACTGGCAGAAAGCCATGGCGTCTGTAGAAGTCCGAGACGTTTGCCAAAACCGCCCTGCATAGCTGGGACAGAGATCTCTCTCCAGGCTTACTGCGTCAGGACCTTGTATGTCAGGACCTTGTATGAACAATCTTTACGTGTAATCCGTGCAATGACGTTTATATCTTTACATAGCCTTGTATATATTTGTATATATTTTTATGTGTATGATTCTGTATGTTTGTTTCTCTCCCTCTCTCTAAGATTCTCTAAGCATTTTATATTTATAATTCTTTAATTATTTATACGACGTATTATATATTTATATTGCTTCGTCGGTCACGCCCAGTCCCACTCCACTAAGGCCACTGAGGCCACTGAGGTCAGTGCGTTGAAGCTCCTGGTCGGGGCAGCCCAGTTTCTCAGCTAGGACCAACAGAGCTGCCTACCAGGACTTGGAGATCTTGGAGTTTCTGATTGCGACATGGCAGTGATGGTGATCTTGTGATACTATATGCTTCTATATCTATGACATTTCTTCATCATAGAGTCAATATTAGTCATATTAGTCATATTCCGTAGTTCTTTCATGTTCTTTGCCAGATTGCACAGAGATGCACAGAGTCTCCGTGTTGAGTCATGACAGTCATGGCATGAAAACTTCACGCGTTCTTCGGTCTCTGTTGGCGCCTCGGTGGGTTCGCCAATTCGGCGATAGCTGTTGGCCTCCACTTCCAGCCTGCCCGGCCGGGAAGCAACAACAATGCAATAACAATGTTTAAACAATGCAATAAACATTGTTTAACATACTTTAACAATGTTTAACACGTAACACGTACACGTCGTACACATTGGTGAGAGTTGGCACAATACTCTCTACAAAGATTGCGCAGTGTTCTGTCTTGCTCTTGGTATTTTGAGTTGATGCAGTGGCACTTGGACAACCACGTAAAGAGACAGAGAGACAGATAGACCAACAATGATAAACAAACAAACAGATAGACAAACAAAAAATAGATTGATGCAATGGTCCATTCATAGGTTGACGAGGTTGATCAGCAGATCGATAAGCGCAAACAAACAAGCAAACAAATACAAGATACTACAAGCAAATAGAATCAAATAGATGCAAATGGACCATCCTCATCCGGACTGGTCATGAAACAGTACGGTTTAAGACAGGCGCCGCTTTGCACATCTTGGCACGGGTATCTCACCTGGCATCATTGCAATTCACCAGGATCTTTGCCAGGAACTGCAGTTGTGGATGCCACTCCTCAGGTGACGTGGAAGAATGTAGACAGCTGCTGGAAGAAACGGCTCATATCAACTCTGTAACGAACTCCCTTGTTGATTTTTTGAACATTTTTTGAACATCATAATTACCAAAATATACCAAAGAGGTGCACCCAGTATCAACTTTCAACATGTCTCGACCTGGTTCATGTCGCCTCCCTCTTGGCCCGGCCAACTTTGAGGCTTCAACGTTGAAGCAAAGGCCATTTACAACCCCAAGGGGTGCGTAGGTGTGCCCCTCAACGGTGTATGCCTCCAAATTGTTGCCTCAGCATCGCTTGGAATTGCGGATTGCAATGACTGCAGCCTCAAACGTCCCCGTGGTGAAATCATGTGAAATCACAGTACATCGGCCTCGGCAGAACATGTTCAGAAGCCTTGCATTGCAAACATGACCAAAATATCTGAGTCATTTTGAGTCAATCCCATTCACGGAACTCACCTGAGGTTGGCAGAACCAGTTTCGTGCAGCACATTTCCTGACGGGGCCAGGGGGCCAGGACTCAGGAGCCAACTCTTGCATTGGCTTCAGCTGTGAGGCTTTGCAGTGCTGAATCCGTGGCAGAGTTTTTGAACTGAGTTTTTAAAAAAGTCGTCGGCAAATGCTGAGTTTTTTTAAAAACGCTGGCAACTTTTTCCAAGTGGCATTGGTGGTGAGGGTCCCAGTCTTGTCGGAGCAAATGATCTCAGCACGGTGATGAGCCGAACTGTGCAGGCAAAATGATGCAACATGTACGGCACTATGAGTAAGAAGACTTCGCAGCAGCAGCTATGATCACACCGAGTGTTGCCTGGCACTATGAGTTTTACATACTTTTACTTTTGCTTTTTCATTACATCTTTCTACATCTTTCTACATCTTTCTACAGTCATCTACCGTGTTCCAACTGGACGATCCAAGATCTTCCAAGAGGCGGTGGTGCAACCCAGTGTTTCTACAGACGGCAACTTTCTGACGATGGCGTTCTTCTTGGCCATCTCAGAGGTACCTGGAAAGCGCTTGGAAGCCGCTTGGAGCTTCATTCTGACGACACATTGCCCCGGGCTGGGCAAACGGCCAACGAGTGTCAAATCCCAACATCATGCCCAAAAATGCCGAAAATGCCAAAAAAATGCATCCAATCGGCCAGTTTGCGGATCAAAACAATGCCATAACACATCACAACACGCATCGATGATTTTTTTGTTTCTCCGGGGACATGTCCATCAATGAGTACCAAAGCCGCACCGCCCGACACAAAATACCAGCCCCGGCCTAGTGCCAAACAGGTAGTGATCACCGCAGGCAGTCCCTCTGGGATGGCAGCCACCGCCAGTGCCACTGCTATCCTACAGAACAGTGCGGACGATCGACCATGTCAGTCCTCATCAGTCCATATCAGTCCATATCGACCCCAGCACGGCGATGTTATCTCAGAATTCATCTCAGCATATCTCAACCTGTTGAAGTTTTGAACTGTCTCATGGACTCTCATGGCAGGTGATGGCTTGGTATCTTCGTTTTGGATCTCTTGCTTTGTCCTTCTCCAACTGTCGTCTTACCTTCTCTTTCTGCGGTCAAATGATCAAGTGGTGTGGAGTTGATGCCAGTTTCAACAGCCATCTGGGCAGCATGTCCTTCAAAATTAGAAAAACACAGAAAAAAACACGGAAAACCATGAGTTGAAGCCTAAATTTTGGCGGGGCTGGAGTTTCCATATATGCACTCCAAGCATCTTGAAGTAGTAGATGCATCCTCGAATGACCTCAAGCCGTCAGCGCTGACATGACCAGCAACCGGGTAACCACCCATACCCACCCACATCCGAAGCATCCACCTTCAATATCCTTCAATGTGACAGTTCCGAAGCACTCCCCTTCTTTGCAAAGCTACCTGATGATACCCGCTGCCGAGTCGCAGAGCCATGAACAGGATCAAAGAAGTGTTTGTAGTTAATGGCCCAAACCTGACACGAATTGCTCCATGATCCATTGCAATGCACAGTATCATCAAAATGACGTCTTGAGTTTCAAATGCTCAAAACATTCAAACACTTACGTGCGATCGATTGGTTCCAGGGCTGGGGCTTCAGAATACATACCCCGACTTCTTGCTGTATGCCATTGCATGCCATATTGGATGTGCCAGCGCCAAAACTCGCCATGCTAAGCACTAAGAGCGGCGCCAGTGCACAAATGGCGAAAATGACCTCCAAAATTATTGTTTGTAAGCATTGCCAGCGGCGAACCCCAGCGGATCAACATCCAAGAGTCATCTTGAGTGGATCTGCTTGTGAAACATAGGGAAATTCGGACATCTTTGGACATTTGGGAAACAAAGCCCATCAGGACCTTGGCCAAAAGGTTGCCAAAATCATCCAATTTCTGCTGGAGGGGGGTCTGCTCCTGGCCGCTGTCGACCTGCAGCCCTTCATAGCCCCTCCCATGAATGTCCAACATCACATCTGAATCTTTCTCGATCATTCCCGATCTTTCATTATCTTTCATTTATTTTCGTTTATAAATATTCATAGATTCTGCAGTATGATTCATTATGATTAATTTATCCCTGTCCTCATCTTCAGCGGCCGATTGAACAGCATCCTGTTCAAATGTTCCAGGGTCAAATGTAAAATCTCTGGGCAAGGGACTGCAAAGGATTGTTGAGGATCATATGGACATGTCAAGGCTCTGCTGAACAAGTCCAGGGTTTCAAATCAGCATGCCTAGCTCTGAAATGATTTCCTATGATTTCCTGAAAGGCATCTGGAAAGGCATCTGGAAAGGCATCTGGCACCTAGTTCTATCCTTAGCAAACTGACACGTGAAACTGATCACGGTCTCCAGTTGCTCCTGGATGGCTCCAATCTCTGTCTCCATCCCCGTGGAAGTCACCACACCGACGCACGAGCCGTTTGAAATCGTCGTTGACGAAAAGAGCATGTTCACCTCAGTGTTGGGCAAGCAATGGAGACAGTGATTGGATGCTTTGGATGCTATGGACTTCCTGCCTTGCATCCTCTCGCAAACATTCGCGCATCTAACAAAAACAATGACAAAAAATGACAATACGTAATCCATAATTATAGATTATAAATGATTATAAACTATAAACCGTATTTACGTTTATGGAAGTAACCCGTGCTCAGCCCCACCCCATAGCACAAAACACGGTACAACTGTACCATGTCGTACCACATGGTTGCATCTATTTGCATCGCATGTCGCATCTGTCGCATGTCGCATGGGGCTGTGGCCTTCGCTTGGATCACGCTCTGCTCCTCCTGTGGTGCCAACTCTTTGGACACGCTCTGCGACTCGCCAGTGAGTTGAGACCTGGGAGAGTTAATGAAGAATAAGGAAATCCGAAGAAATCCGAAGAAATCCGAAGAAATCAAGAGATGTCAAGAGATCTCAGATTGAACAGGTCTGAAACGCTGAAATCATCAGATGATGCCGGCCATTCATTGCCGCGATTCCCGTGGTTCAATTTTCACTTTGACTTGAAGAATGCAGTACTGCAGTAATATGCAGATAATATTTGCATCACCTTGCCGTTTGAAAGGTTTGCACATGTTTGCACTTTTCACTATGGAAACATGATGAACCTTATAGGAGATTGCAGGAGGGGTTTTGAGAAATTCTCTAGTTTCGTGATAGTTGGGGGCTGCCTCTGTGCTTCCTAGAGGTCCTATGTTTTCTTTTTCTGGTTTAATTTTTTGCCAAGAGGCTGTTCAACCCGGATCATGGAGGAATGCAACTCCACCAGGCGCATATCTGCGGGAACTTTGTCCCCCACCTTCACCTGCAATAGGGCTTCAAAGGAAATTGAGATCAGCCCTGAAATGAGACAAGATTTCATTGAAATCAAATGAAACAAGTCCGAAACAGAAAATGAAATATAGCAGCAGCCAGCTACCCAATACCTGCAGTAGCATGCAGTAGCATGCAGTAGCATGCAGTAGCCAAGCTGAGGTTCAGTTTAATTAATTATTTTTTTTTCATTCGCACGCAGTAAGTCGGGACGACTGTGCGGACATGCAATATGACATCATCGATCCTGCGGTCAACCCCAATTATTTATCTAAAATATTTCAGATGATTTCAGCCAACATGATCCAATGTCTTGCGTCCATAGAAGGGTCGCTGCACCTGCACCAAATCTCCGGGGACCAGGTCTTCAGCATTCAGCTGCTGCCAACGACCTTCTCGCAACACGAGGGCGCTGTCAGGTTGCAACCTGCCGATGGAGGCAGTTTCAATCAGAAAACGCTAAGGATCGGCTACCGGGTAAAACATAGTTTAAACATCGTTTTTTTCTACGGTAGAACAAAAAACAGAACAAGAGAATGATGGAGTCTGATAGAGAACGCGGCTGACGCACCCTGAACATGCTTGATTGATGCCCACCAAATCCGAAGCCGAACAGTGGATCAGTGGATCTTCCTTGCCTTTGCATTTTAAGGTTACCAAGAGTCTAAAAATCAGCAGGACCCAAACGCCATCATTGCACCAACATATGACAGCAAAGACAGTTTTGGTCGACACCAGTCTTGGACATTGTGGCATAACCACGTTTGGGCCCATGTCATGCCCACACCCACGTTGAGTTTTTTTGCGTGTTTTTGCTTTGCCTCTTGAGCGCCACCAAGGCTTTTTCTGCGTTGGTTTCTTGCCACACGCCAACAATGGCATTGGCAATGAGGATCAAGAGAATCACCAACCTCAATCACAATGACTGCCCGACGGTACACACGCATTTCACGGCACTTCCACACACACACACACTATATATATATACCAATCTATGCAATACATAAAATACAGCCCGCCTTCTCCCACTCTACTGCATGAACTCAACTAAGTAGATACTACATGATACTACAGTAAATGGTGCGCAACCGGACTTTGACAGGCGCACATGTACATATGCCTTGAATCAGCACAAAGCTATCATGGCTTCGACAAGGCACGGCTCTACAAAGGCTGTGATGCCTTCCTGGCGGTCACACTCTCGATGGACAAAAGGCAAAACATGGCAAAACAGAGAATTTGCAGATCGGTGATCATCAATGTGATCATCTGGGATCCATGGGCTTCACATGGGAATGTGTTGGCAGGTTTCTAGTGTAATTATATGTGTTTCAATGTTTATCAATGGTTTACATGGCCTCACTGGTTCCATCGATGTATGCCAAGAAAAAGGACACCACGGCTGATAGCAGCAAGATCCGAACCAACCTGAGCTCAGCGCAGCGGCTCAGCGCAGCCCTCTACTGTGAATGGCGTGAATGGCACGGTGATCGGTGAATGGCAGGCACTCGCTGTGAAGATCCAAGAAGCAAATCCTCGAATTGAGCAACAATCA